TACACTAACTCCACATGTGGATTGGTGATGCTAGTCAAGGCCGTGGTAGACTTATACCCAAACCCTTCTGTCCTGACAGTAGTACTAGACCTTCGAGTCTAAGTGGCACACCTGAGAAATCGACTATTGTTGTCTATACCTGGTTCTCTTCGAAGTTCCTAACGCTGTTCTATACCTGACCTGGTTGAGATAGGTCAAACGCTGGATTCAGTAAGGTTTATGCCACCTAGACTGCTCAACCTCAGTTGTTGGAGATCTCCCAGTTATACATGGGTGACGACGCATTAAATATTAAGTTGTATATTGTTGTTGTTGTATTAAAGTTGTTTCTAAGTTGTATGAATGAGTTGGGTTTTCATGTTGAGCTGTATGGTTATTTGTGATGATGATTGATAAATGAGATACATTTATTACATGATTGTTAATATGATGAAGTGTGTGGTGTTTAGCTTCATGATTGATGGATTGTATGTTATACATGAGTAGTATTGGATAGAGTATGGTGTGACTCTATGAACATGATTGATAATTGGATGATTGTGTGGTATAGACTATTGTCTGTACTTGTATGATTGATTTTTAAACTTTAGCTTACCCTTCTGTTTCCATGTGGTGGAACTGCGATGATCATACTTGATATGGGAGCAGGTCAGGGCTAGCTTGGAGTTGAGGTGTCCGCTGCGAGACGGAGAGTTTTGATCCTCGTGTTAGAGTTATCATTTTGGATAGCGATTTTGTCTGTGCTTGACCGACATTAGGGAATATTATTTTTTGGATGACTGTACTTATATGGAGTTTTATTTTATAACCAGAAACTTAACTATTTTCATTTTTATTTGTACATGTATGTATGAGTTATCTAGCTTAATATTTCCCTTAATTTCACTAGCAGTAGTGCGATTCCCCTAAGTGTAGAGACCATGGCAGGTCGTTACAATTGTAATACTCGAGGGACTAAAATTATACAATTGTAATACTTGATAAAATAAAATTGTTTAATTAAAATTTGGGAACCAAAATCATACAATTATAATACTTAAAACACTAAAATTACTCAAATAAAACCTTAAAGACCAAAATTATACAATACAAATACTAAAGGGATCAAGAATGTAATTAGCTTAAAAGAAAATAAATGATTTTTTTATAGATAAAAGTTTAGATGAATTAGATCTCAGACTAGAGCCAAACACGAGCCAAACACGTTTTTAAGATTTTATAAGTATTTTACAAACGTGCTTAAAGATTGTCCAGTAATAAAATCTTATCATCACATGTACTTATAGATTGTTTATCAATAAGACTCTCACATTGAGAATGAGAATTGAACCTATACTTTTTTGAGATATAAGTTCGTTCATTATCAATTAGACTAACCTTTATTTGCAAAAGAAAATAAATGATAAGAATAAAAAATAATTATTTTTAGGTTATTTTAAAGTAACTTGATATCTTTTATTTGTTAAGATGTATAATAGTTTTCAAATATAGATGGTTGAAAAAGAAACAAATATATAACAAATGCATACTTACTTTTCAAATATTAAATAAGTTTAAAGAGAATGTTAAGACGAGATTATTTTAAATTAAAAAAAGTAAATATCTAAAATCATTATAATTTTGTTTGAAATTTATCTTGTAAACTTTTTAAAATATAAAATTACTTTTCTTAATTATTATAATTAATTTTTAAACATTTTTTTTTCAATTTTAAATATGAATGTACAAGTTTTTTACGAGAGGGAAAAATAAAATAAAACTTTAAATACAAAAGGAAGGAAAAATTACATTAATCAAAAGGAATGATAAAACAGAAAATGCATTTTATATGAGAAGAGAGAA